AAGACAGATTACGTAATTAAATTCCCTAATATTATTGGACGATTTATATAAACCGATAAGTTTTCCTAAAAAATTACGTGGATTTTCTTGTCTCAGTAGGATTTTTTTTTGTCTCAGTAGTATTTTTTTTGTCTCGGTAGTATTTTTTTTGTCTCGGTAGGAATTTGATCGACATTGAATATGGTATATTTTCCTAAATTTATAAATTATATTGTATCGATATTATGATTTTAGATTATAATTGGTAATTTTGAAAATTTCTATTTTCTTATGAGATCAGAGTAGATTAAGTCATAATTGAAAATTTTGAAAATTTCTATTTTTTTCGTGAGATCGGAGTGAATTTAAATGAAAATTTTGAAAATTTCTATTTTTTTCGCAAGATCGGAGTGAATTTAAATTAGAATTAGAAATTTTAAACTTATATTATTTTTTATACAATCAGAATTATATTATTTGTTATAAATTTATATATATAGAGTGGTGGTTAGATTTTTTTGAATAAAAAAAAATTATTTCAATTAATTAGCGTTATATCGTATACGAATTTGATAAAAATGTCAGTTGAATTAACACGTGAATTGACACGCCGTAAATGACGAGAAGTGCCGCTTATTGATCTCAGTGATCAGGATGAATTAGAATTTGCTATGGAAGAATCAGATTCATATTTTCTACGAAAAATTCGTACAATTTGGAATGATATTTTGGAATGGGATTCAAGCAATTCTTTCAATCTTTTTTTTTTATTTTTTTATAATTCTATGTTTATTTTATTACTTTTTTGGATTTATTTTAATTCCTCTGTTCAATTGAATTTTTTTATCAATTTTTCTAATGCAACTGATAACTTCACAAATTCATTTTTGAATGTGTTCAATGAATTTTCTCATATTCTAACGCATAATCACCAATCTCATTTTTTTAATATAACTTTTGCTGGATAATATTTTTAGAGTTTATTGAACGTTTTTATTCAGGAATAAAATTATTTCTATTATGGAGCTTATCCATTTTTGGAAATTTTGAAATATTTACTTTCAAAAAAAATAAATAAAAAAGATTCTTGAAGTCTTTTCGAATGCAGAGTCTGAGATGAATATTACATCCAAAACAAGATTTAGGCATTTTAATTTTACTTTTTACAAACATGTGGATATATCATTTTTAAAAATTATAGAAAATATACATCAGGAAGATAATAATCCAATTCAGTATATTATTTTTCAATTGGAATTTAATCATAATGCTTCGGGTTCAAAGGATCATGCTCACATGCAAGGTTTTGCAATTTTAAATGAACAGATGAGAATTGGAAAATATACTCAGACTAACAAGTCTGGAATTAAAGATTTATTTGAATCAAATAGCATTCATATAAATTTTGCGAATGGGACATCAGAACAGTGTAGAGATTATTGTAGTAAGAAATATAATCGCTGTAAGGATTATAATGGTTGTAAATGTGATTATTTTGATTTAGAGAAGATATGTAATAAGTGTAATGAGAATTGTACGAGAACTCTAGCACGTGTATGTGATGTAAATAAGGATGACACTAATTCTGGACCTTGGGAGTTTGGAGATATATCAGTCAGATCTAATAATCAAGTAGGTAATAATATTAATAAATATATAAAGAATATGAAATCGTTGAAAATAGAGTATATGAAAGAAGCTATAAATAAAATTATAAAAGGAGAAAATGTTGATGAAACAATTGTAGAATACGCGCCTATGATCCCATCATGTGTTACTATTAGTATAGATAAAATTAAAAAGGCAGTGGATAATATTGATAGTAAATTTATGGAAAGGTGTTGGAAGCCATGTAATATTTATATATTTGGAACTCCCGGAATAGGAAAGACTTTTTGGAGTAGTATAGTTTTTCCTAATGCATATAAAAAATCTATAGATGATGATTAAAAATGGTGGGAAAATTATAATAATGATCATATTATTATTATTAATGAGATGGAACGAGAATCGGCCCCATGGAAAAATTTACTTAACATTCTCGATCGAGTTTCGTTAAGGGTACAAGTGAAAAATTTATCACGTGAATATTTTGGAATGTATTAAGTTTTTACTTCAAATACTGGATTACGTGAATTATATAATTATTGGGAGGATTTGCCATTTTACGTAAAATCAAATGGGCATAGAATTCCAAATAAAAAATATTATTCAGCTGTTAAAAGAAGATTCGATTTTATTGTTGAATATTGTAGATATAGAGATGATAATGTACTTGTATATAGTGGAGAATGTGTATGTTGTAAGGTGCGAAGGATTTTTCATAAGGGATCTAAGGAAAAATTTCAAAAATTAGAATTTGATGTTGAGTTTAATGAGGGTGTTACTTAGGAATACACGTCAAGAATAGTTAAAAAATTAAGTAAAAAGGGTAGATTATTAAAAATGGGCAATAGGATTATTTGGAGGAAGAATTTTGAAAGTAATAATAGATATGTGATCACTGACTCGAATAGTGATGATGGATTAGTTTCGGATTTTATTACATATTCTGAAATTATTGAAAAGCTTAATGAGAGGATTGTTGATTTTGATGATATTGAAATTATCGAAGAGATTGATATTTGCGAATTAGAAGGTGGTGAGTCAAGTGGGTCTAAAAAAAGAGATTATGAGAATGATAATAATTTTAACTTAAAGAGATGGAAGATTTCTGATGTAATTAATACCTGTGATGATGATATCTTTGAGAATTTAGATAATGCATAATTCTATCATAGTTACGTGATATTTTAATAAATTAATAAGTATTATCATGTGATTATAATGCTGTATAAATATGTTATATGAAATTGATTTTCATATTTTTTACATTCTTTTACATATCAGGTATTTGTAATAATTATGTGCATATGATCTTATATGTCTGTAATTCATATAAATTGAATGATTATTTTTGTTTTTTTCTTTTGTAATGATGTTTTTACATCTCGATTTTTAGTGAAATTATGAGTATTTACTTTTTTTTTTTTGATTTTATAATCATGGTAAGAAAATATTCTAATGATGAAATTATATCATATTATATTATAAGTGAACGTTTAACTAAAATTAAATCAAATATTCTTTTACACTTCTTGAAATATGATTATCGAAACAATAGAGGATAGTCATGAAGTTGTGTATTGTTTGGTGAATCTTATATGAAAGGCAACTCATGGGAAGATTGTTTTGATTATTTTTGATCAAACTCAAACGATAAATGTAACATTTAATGATGGTGAAGTTCGAGCCATAAAAATTGATGCACCGGGTGCGGTTCTTTTGAAAGAGGATGTTTTTTTTCAGATATCAAGAAAACTTACCATCTCAAATAAAGATAATCCCATAAATGTTGATAATGATACCACATCAACTGAGGATGAGCTTGTCGATGATATTCATGTATGGTTTTATGGTTTGATGTTAATGTATTTA